TAAACATACACAATGTTGACATAGTTGAGTAAATGTTGTATACAGGTATAAACCCCAAACTAAATCCACAACCGTTGGATTTCTTATATTACACATCTCAAGGCAAGGAGACTACCCATCTTATTCCCTTGAAACACCTGGTGGATTTGAACTTCCAACCTCTTTTGATACTAAGCCATGAGATTACCTTGTATTCATGCATATGAGTTTGGCATATTTCTTCCTATACCAGTCCTATAATGGGAAGATATAATAAAACAAAATGTTGGGGTTTCCAGGACATACAGAAAGAGCTCTGGTGGCCTAGTCCAGGGATATACTGCTGTAACTGAAAAACCTGTTTCTAGCAGTTCAACTCCACCAGCTATTCTTTGGAAGAAACATGAGCAATGTCCTCATTTAAGAATGGAAACTTGATGGTGAGTTGCAAAGAATTAGAATCCTCTCAAAGGCAGTGAGGGAGCTGAGTACCTATGAAAGTTCTCTTTATACTATGCTGCATTCTATTAAGTGTCAGTATTATGGTGCTTAAAATACTATGGGAATTACCAAAAAGGGGCAGATACAAGAAGTGGCGAGATGCTCTTTGGAAAAAAAATTACACCATTGGACTTGCTAGAGAAAAGTAGGACTACCACAGAACTTCAATTTGTAAAATGCACAATAACTGAAGAAGAAGAAAGAAAAACACGACAAAAGAAAATATGTGTGTATTAAGTTTTACGCACTCATATGTTTCCAGCAGGAACCTTCCTTTCCCCATCTCTGCGATTATTCTAATGAGCAAGACAGAAAGAAAGCTGCAGTCCGTGGTCCTCTAGACAGTGGGGAGCTCCTGGATTCTGAGTGGACAGTGGAGCATAGGATTCTGAGTTTGGGATTTTGTTCATTTTGTTTGCTTAAATTCAGGAAGCACAAAGAGGATGTGAATTGCACCATCAAGAGAAAGTTGTTTCTTTCATTCCTTTTCTGATGATCATCCCACTTTTCCAGACAGGGACGCAGAAGGCAAAGGTTTTTCTGAAGGTCACACAAATTGTTCTTGGAAGAGTTTGACCTTAAACAAATTCTTTCTCATCCCCAGAGTATGCAATCTTTGCACTATAGACAGCTACTCTGCTTAAGATGCACTTGGCTCTTTGTTTTTCTAAAATCAGCTTTAGAACTTCTCACAGAAGTATTTTAGAAAATTTCCATTTGAGGAGTGAAATGAAATCTAGCTGTAACTATAAAATATGACCATCTCTTTGTAAGTGATTATTGGGTCAAACTTTTAATTCTAAAGCATTCTATAGAAATGTTTGCACTGTGCTCTTCCATTTATTATCCAAATACTGTTTACCACTTTGTGTGGAAATCGGTATTCTTAGCCCAAGCACTAATGTTTACAATTTCAGATGTGTTTCCAAGCCGCCCCGTGGTGACAGGAGAGTAGGCAACTTAATGAGAGCAGAGATCTTAGTGAAATGACCTGTGTCATTGCTGAGATGAATCATGAAAAGCATCCTTGCTTGGAGCACTGGCGAGAGCCTTTAATTCTCGAGAGCATGGCAGTTGGGCAATCTGGGATAGCAGGCTTGGAGAAAAGGCAGAAATTCATAAGTGGTGTATGGATCTAGAGAAGAGAAGTCGGCTGTGAGCTCCTTTCTCAGTGGGGAGGAGGATTTCTCGCTATCAACCCCAGTGAGGGCTGTTAATAGATGTCACTTAGGGTGTGTGACCTAAGAGCACTGGGGTGGAATCAGAGACCTGCAATCTAGACTCAGTCCTGCTACCGCTACTGCTCACCTTCTGTGTGACTTCCGGCCTGTGTCTCACCCTCTCGCAGCTTCCTTGCCTATCAAATATCAGCATTTTAATAAAAACAGATTTGTGTTCTTTTTGATATCTAACACTCTCAAACTTTGGAAGAACTGGTATTAGAATGCAAAGCCTACTCTTACAGTCTTCACATAATGTGTTGTTTGTTTTGGTGTTGTTGTGGACTATTGTTGGTGACTTAGTGATAAGATGTTGAGCTGCCCACCCAAAGACACATGGTTCAAATCCAGCAGCTGCTCAGTTGGGGGGGAAAAATGGACAAGCTCCTCCTGGGATATTTACTGCCTCTGAAAACCCACCCGAGGGTCAGTTAGGACTCAGTTCCAACTGACAGTACATGACAGCAATCTCTTGTAAAATCGAGAGGGAGGTGATGGCATCGAATTTGTTGTTGCTCGGTACTGTTGAATCATAGCCACTTTATGGATACTATTTGCCCAATATAGCCTCACAATTTCTGCCCTGATTAAATTTATTTTTATTTTTTTTTGTTACCATGCCAGTCTACCTAGTAGAGGATCTTCCTTTCTTTAAGTAACTCTCCGCTTTCCAAGCATGATGTATTTTTCCAAGTACTTGCCCCTCTTGATAATAAGTCAAATCCAGACAACCATATTCCTAAACAAGTCTTTTTCACCTCCATGTATTCATCATGTGTATTTTGCACATGTACGTTTAGTCAGACCCGACCCACAGCTGACCCTCCAGAGGGTTTTCAGAGGCAGAAAATCACATGGAAGAAGATTGTCCCTCCTTTTCCCGTAGAGCAGGAGGTGAATTCGAACTGCATGTCTTCAGGATTGCAGTGAAGCCTCTGGCTACTAGGCCACCAGGGCTCCCTTCACGTAGTGTACGGACTCTATCTCTTGCATTCCTGATGTGTGCCATTCGCTCTTGTATTGATTTGCCATGTTATATCATTTGAATTCTCATTGCTAGCTTACCAGTATGGAAAATAAGATGAAAGAGGTTAAAGTTTGCTGATAGTCATACGGTGCACAAGTGGATAGGTCCAGATGCAAGTGCAGGCTACCTGATTTAGGTCACCTCACTCGAGGATTTCTGCTCCGAATCCGAGTGTGGTATTGGTAGTTGTTGATTCGTCTTCCATGATTAGTCATGCATGGAACCGGTAGGATTCCTACAGTATTTGACAGAGTTTTGGATGTAATCATTGGATGTTTCTTGGTAGTCCATCTTATTCTGTAAGCTCTATTAAAACCTGGTCTTCCTCATAGCAATACCCAGCCCTCCAAAAACAGAGGCGAATTAGGCAGAAATTGAACCTTGGCCTCCCACCTGGAAGCCATTAATTCTACCACTGAACCACATCTGCCCCATCATCAAATTTCTGCAAAGACAATGAGTTAATTGGCTCCTGCTTTGTTATCAAGAGAACTAAACCTAATGGCATTGACACAGGTTCACCTCCTTTAAAGGACTTTGGCTTTCTTCAATAGAGTGTTCAGGCAAGTACTTAACACTACACCTGCCATTTTACACTTCAGCAGGTTTAATCCCATGAATAAACAGAATGCTAATTGTTTGCAGTTTCAGGGAAACAGGGTTTGCAAGACAGTCTAGTCATGCTTAGAATTTAGTTAATGTAATCCAGATTTTACAGGGTTTGGATTACAGCAGCAAGGCTACTGTTTGAAAAATTGAAACCTTTAAACACTTTTTGATGAGCACTGTTTAATTGAAAATTAAAACCTCTTTCTGTATTATTATTGTCTCAACTCGGGTTGTTACTTCACTGCTTGCTGTACACCCTGAAAAAATGAGTTCTCACCTGGGCTTTTCTCAGCTCCTGTACTTTGCAGTTCTAGAAATTATGATCACAGGAGAAGTGTAAAGTATTGTGCTTTTAATAAAGTGTTAAGGTGCTTATTGAATTCTCAGCAAGCAGCAAGTAGTCGCTTAAGTGACCCTCTCAGGGTCTATTTTATTTTAATAAGTAACTTTGAGAGAATAACACATACTCAGAATTCAGGAATGAACGTAGTCCATGGTAGACTCCTTTTTGCCTTTTTAGACATAAAAGGTAGATGATTTTGTTACCACACCCTCAAATAAAATGTAATAGCCAAATTAATTTTTCTGTTAAGACCCACTACACTACCCACTACCATCTTTGTTACAGATACATGTGAGGTTTTCTTGTATAATTATTGTCTGCCATCTTCTATAAGCCCTGGACTAGGCCAACTTAATTTTTTGCAAAATGCAGATTTTTGTGTTCTGTATTGCTTACAAAACAAAGTCAACTCTTTGATAGCAAGATTTTAGCTATCTATCTACACTAGGACTGCAGCCTACAATATGGATTGAGGCTCAATGTCAAGAAGACAAAGATTCTCACCACTGGA